TCTTTCCCTTCCTCTTTTCCTTCCTTCCTTCTCACTTTCTTTTCTCTACTTTTCTTCTTTCTCTTTTCCCCATATCCCTCCTTCCTCTCTTCCTCCTTCCTTCTATTCTTCCACAAGTGTTCCTTGACCCAGGAATTTGTGCCCCAACCCAGACAATGCAGGGGACAAAATACACAGCCCCACCGTGGGAGCCGCCAGTGACCTGGGTGAGCCTCATTAATCAGCCAACCACAGGTCTCTGAGCAGTGTCAGGTGCCACAGAAGAAAAGTGCAGGGACTTTGGAAGTGTCTGGTGAGGACCTGCCTGAGCCTGAGGGTCCAAGAGTGCTGTCCTGACATGGGAAAAGAACATTCTGGTAAAGGAGTGGTGGTCCCACTGAGGCGCGTGACAGGCTCCACACGGCAGTGGACAGGTGCAGGTCTCCTGGGGCACGTGAACCTGGACACGCATGTCCTTGCCATGGCCTGGCTGGGGCCTGACACTCGGCCTTTCTCCGGCCCAGGTTCTCCTGCTGGAAGCAGCAGAGAGGCCCTCGGGCCCGGACAACGACCTGCCGGCCCCCCCAAGCACTCTGCCGCCCTGGAACGAGGACTTCCTCCCTGACGCCATCCCTCTTGCCCACCCAGGGCCCCACAGGAGAAGGCCCACAGGCCCAGCCGGTGAGTGAGGCCTGTGGGGAGGGCTCGGGCCGGCCCCAGGGCTTCCACAGCAGGCCACACACCAAGCACCTTGGGTCAGTCATGGCCTCATGGCATTTTGAAAAAATGAGCTAACATTTAAACACTCGGGAATTAGATCAGAATTTCTACTTTCTCCTGAAAGAATGGAAAATTTGGCCATCAGAGCTGACAGTCCTTGCTGTAACAGTCAGCCCTCGCCAAGTCTCCGTGGCCACTGTGTTCCAGTCCAAGCTCTGCAGTGAGCTGCAGTCCCCACCATTCCCAATTGCCTTCCAGTCCTGCTGCTGTCCTCATGCCCTGCCCTGCCTCTCAGCACCTGCCGTTGGGGCCCCGCCCAGCCCGTTGTTGCTCAGCTCCCATTTGCAGCAGCCCACCTGTTTCCCCCACCTTTGGGACCGGAAGCAGACTGCCTCCCCCCACTTTCTGTGGGTTCCTCACTGAACTCTGACAGGATTTGGAAGACATCTGCCCTGCCTCCCTGCACATTTTACAGGCCGTGGTAAAACCTCTCTGCCCTGGCCTGGGCTCTGCCTCTGGGCTACAGAATAGCAGTGACAACCACAGCAGTAGCAGCTACAGTTATCAAATGCCTGCCACAGGGCCGGTGGGCACCTTTAGCCAGCACCAAACGGCTGAACGCAGGGGTCGAAGGCCGGTGCCATTATGACTAGTACTGAGTACTCATAGTCAGTATGACTGCCCAGACTGTGCCAGTTACTGAATATTCTCACGTCACCCTGGGCAGGACAGTTGTCGTATCTAACTTTGGGGTTACAAAGGAGACAGCTGAGGTTCAGAGAAGTTAGGTAATTCCCTTGGGTCACCCAGAAAGCCACAGGGATTTTAACTGGATGATCCCCAGCCCCACTGGAGCCCCTCCCTCCACCCTCTCCCAGTTGAGCCCCCAGATTCACCTCAGAGCAGGCACCCCTACCCTCGTCTTCCTGTGCTGTTTCGTGAATGCTCCTGTTCTGAGGGCTGAGCCCCGGCAGTGTGGGAGAGCTGGCCTCCAGGGCCCCTGGGCCAGAGGAGGGGAAGCAGGTACCCTGCATTCTTCTACAGGGCTGGGGCTGTGGAAGGGCGGATGAGCTCCGGCCTGCTGCAGGAAGGGTGGGGCCATCTCCTGACCCTGTGGCCCTCCAGCCACCATCCCTAGTGTCTTACCCCCAGAGGACTGCCCCATGCCCACTTTCTTCCAATCTCTCTTCTGGAACTGAGGCAGAGGGAGCTTTCTGCTCCACAGAGGACCCAGGGCACAAACCTCCCTGGGTGGGAGGCTGGGAGGGGTTCTGCAACTCCTGCCTAGACTTTTCTCACCAAGGAAAGTGCAGTTCCAAGGATGACCACGAGGTGGAGCACACGCTCTATAAATGTGACACTTGGGACCCAGCCTGGCTGGCTCTGAGCTCTCCCTAAGCCAGCCCCTCTCCCCTCCCCAAGGCCTGCCTCCCAGGCCGCAGAGTGCAATCTGAGTAGGAAGGACCCTAGAGCCAGCGCAGGTCCCTCATCATAGCAAAAAAAATCTAGCATTCTCCTTGGGCAGCCCAGAGAGAGAAGGGATTGTCCCCAGGGCACACAGGGGACCTCCCATCTCCATCTTTATTGTCATTCACCCTAGAGGCCTAGAGACCAGAGACAGGCAGAGGTGTCCTTCAGGGTTCCCTAGGGTCTCCACGGAGGCTATACTGGGGAGTACTTTGCCACAAACCCAGTTCTCGGCCCTGAGAGGGACTTGAGAAATGAAGAAACCTGAGCTACAGCCTGGCACTGCAATCCAGTCTTCCTGAGCCCACAGTGAAAATGGGAACCAAAGCAGTTCTTGGAATAAGGGAGACACCAACAGTAGCAAAAGTGGTTTGTAAACTGTCACAGCCAACAAACCCACGCTAGTCGAGGTACCTTTATCCACTGGGGGCGCCTCAGGTGGCTTATGATGAGGTGGGGAGGTTGGACCAGACAGCCCAGGTGCTGTCGGGCCTGCAGCCACAGGGGTGGGGAGAGGACAGTCTGGCCCACCGCATTCTGAGGCCTCATCTCTCTCCTCAGGACCTCCAGGGCAGACGGGACCCCCAGGGCCTGCAGGCCCTCCAGGCTCCAAAGGTGACCGAGGCCAGACTGGAGAGAAGGGCCCAGCAGGGCCTCCTGGTAAGGGCCTCCCCAGTTTGATGCTGTCCCCTGGGGAAGGGGGCTGAGGCTTCTCCTCTTCCTAAGCAGGTAGGCATCCCATACGCCTGCACCCCCAGTCTTGCTGGGGTCTCTGCTCAGCTCCTCCCACCACCATCCCAACTCCACCGTAGGCACTTAGGCCCTAATGTCACGCTGGGCTGCAAGAATGTCTTCCAGGAGCTCTGGGTACAGACTTGGGCGTGGAACCACCAGGGGGCAGCAGGCTGTTCTCACCTCCAGAGACCCCTCCCAATTCCTCTTGGGTCCTGCAGAGACAGGGCAACCCAGGTTGAGCCCCTGGGAGTGGGCAGCAGGCATCTGCAGAGCCCCTGTTGGTCCCACTGGCCTGTCTGGGCTGGGAAGGGGAAGCCATTTCACTTACGTTTCAGGACACGCTTCCAGGAAGACAGTGGTTCCAGAGGCCACCACTCGCTGGCCACATGATGCTCATCAACCCTGTGCCCTACAGGGCCTCAGTTTCCCCCTTTGCAGTGTCTCAGCCACCAGTCTCCAGCTCTCACAGTGACTCTTCTCCCCACTCCAGGGCTCTTGGGACCACCAGGGCCCCGCGGGCTTCCTGGAGAGATGGGGCGCCCCGGCCCCCCTGGACCTCCTGGCCCAGCAGGCAGCCCAGGCCTCTTGCCAAACAACCCCCAAGGCGTCCTCTACTCCCTGCAGCCACCTACGGACAAAGACAGTGAGTGCGTGCTGAGGGGCGGATGGGCGGGCCCAAGCCGTGCTGTCTTCTGGGAGGACTGCACCCCTCAGAGGACCCCTGGGAAGTGGACCCTGTCTGTGACCAGGAGTAGCTTGGA